TTGTGTCAGTCACAAAAATGCCCTGGCAGCAAGGCAAGCTCTTTGGTAAGGTGGCTTTTTTTCTTCTTTTAAACAGGATTTTAGCACCAGGATAGTAATGGAAACCACTTTAGGTTTGTTTATGGACCACAAAAATTATGGAGGAACAAATTTTGCAATTTTCTTTCCTAAGTCTAAAAATCATGGATCTGCTGTATGTAGTTAACTTGCAGTTTGTTTGAAGGGGTCCCATCAGTGAAGTGGAAACAGATTTTTTTAACTGACTGCTTTTAGTTAAATCTAAAATTGCTGTCTTTGTCAAGTTAATCTGTTCCCTGCCTCGCTCTTTGTAAGCATGTTAAACAATCCACATTAAATGCCATAAATATGAAATATGAGGAAATGGTACAATCGTAAGCTAAAGAGAACTTAAACCAAAAGGAGGTTTTGCTGTCCTAATTAGAATGTTCTAAAATGTCAAGGCAGTTGCTTGTGTTTAACTGTGAACAAATAAAATGTATTGTTTTGCACTACTCAGTGTTAAATTCCCTGCCAGACCTTTTGGGGACCAAACACATGGAAGGGATTTCAGTGCCCAAACATTTTCCCAGGTGGGACAGTCCAGAGCAGGTCAGTGCTGCTGCCCCTTTGCACAGGATTCACCATTGGAAGCTCATTTTTCTACATGGAGCCAAAGCCTTTTTTCCTTCTGTGACAAACAAACTCACCAACAATGTGCCAGCATAATCCATAAATGAACTGCAAACAGTTCAGTGCTGCAGATCTGCTGGTGAGCTTCTGCATGGCCCTGCTCCTGCAGGCCAGGACTGCACAGTGATTAGAGAAATTAATAGCTGGAAATGTCAGAGCCTTGTTTGCAAAGCTGGGGCTGCTGTCAGGAGTTGGCTCTGTCTGTGCTTTTCCCTTCCATACAGGGCATGCACGAGGACACTTCCTCAGACCACGAGGAATTTTGGGGCCACTTTATTCTAGTGAGGTAAGGTTGTTTTCTTGTTTTGCTTTTTTCCCAGATGGCACTTTCTCACTGGTTCTGGTCTTTCATTGGTTTTTAATTGTTTGGTTGGTTTTGCTTGGTTTTTTTTTTCTTTTTTCTCTTCTTGAAATAAATTAATATTTAAAAGATTGCTCAAAGCAGTTTAGTAACCCATACACAAGTCTCAGCATTCCAATTAAGGATTAAGTGTAATTCTTAAATATGAACAACACAGGCAAAGGTCTGAGTTGTGCAAGTGGCACATTGTGAACATGCTTTGGCCAAGTAATGTTTATGGAGAATTTTATATAGAAAATACCATAAACATCAGTGACACAGAGAGTTGTTTGGACCCCTGCACTGGGATTAGTTCTACAGCATGGGGTAGTAAAATGAAAACAAAGCACAAAGTGAATTTAACATGCCCTTATGCAGAATGGGTTCAAAATAAGGCATCCCTTAAGCTTGGCATGGCAAAGCTGAACTTGCCAGTGTAAAAAAATCATGACATAAAAATTACCCACAGAAGTGCATTACTGGGGTACAAAAAGAGAAAAATTAAATGCCTTCCTTACTCATTAATGCCAAGCAGTACATTTGGTAGTTCATAACAGCTGATAATCACACAGGAGACATTAGGGAAGGAAATACTTCAAATTCAGGAAATGCAAATATCTTTGCTGATTGATCCTGATTTGTTGGGACTACTTAGCTGCTGGCACAATGGTGGATTTTAAAAGTGGTTACTAAGTAGGAAATCACAGCAGTTGAGTTGCTTCATCAGTTCCTACTGAGGAGCTCTGCAAAGGAAGTCTGGTTTGCATTCCCATGGGCTTTGCTTTCCAGACTGTTCAAATACTTGACTTATGGTCCTCATGATTTTGGTGTCTGTGGGCTTTACTTGGCTGAACTTTTTTTTCCTGAAGGTCTTTTCACTCCAGTTCTGGGCTGGCTGATCTCTCCTGTCTGCAGACACTATTCCTGGTTTCTGTGAAGCTGCCTCTGCTCCTTGTGCTCAATGCTCAGCTGACTGAAAGCTCAAACTGCTGCTGCAGCAGCACCAGGGGAATTGAGGACTCCCAGGAAAGCCTCCCCTGCCTCCGGGTGTTGATGATGTGGGGAACAGGCTGGTGGTGACAGGGAACAGCCGCTGGCTCTTCTGAAATTTCAGCTCTGGGGATGGCAGTGGGAGCAGCGGCCCCAGAGCTGCCCTGGGCTGTCCCAGGGGTTGGATACCTGTGAGCAGGGTTAAAAAAGCCCTGTGGATCCAGGACTGGGGACAGCAGGGTTGTTGGAGCTGTTTAAAGGTTGCTGCTGAGAGGTTTGGACACTGCTCCGAGGCGGCCGCTAGAGGCCCTGCCAAGCCCATCCCATCTCTGGGATGCTGAGTTTGCTCTCCCTGGAACGGACCCTTCTGCTTCCCCCAGAGCCCACCACAGCTCCTGACCCTTCATCCTCACTCCTGGGGGTCTGAGCTCTGGTTTGTCCTCTCGGTGCTGGAACCACACATTGAACATACAGAATGGATTACCACTGATTAAACGGTTTCTCACAGAATGGTTTGGGTGGGAAGGGACCTCTAAAGCTCATCCAGTCCAATCCCCCCTTCCACTCCCCACCTTTGACTACATCAGGTTCCTCAGTTTGATAAAAGCCTGATTTGACCCTTAGCTGAATCAAGGGGAGCACAGAGATAATTCATACCGATGCCAGGATTCTGTTGATATCATCTCTTACCAGCCCATGTGTCTATTTCAGCCTTTGAACAAAAAAAGCAGCATTTATTTTCTGGACTAACTGACAGATCTGTGGGAAAGTCAGGCCGGTGCCCTGCCTGGTTTCTCAGTGTGTATCTTGCAATTTTATGCTCACTGAGGCTAAAGTAAAACTTTATTGCACTTTTGTGTTTGGCATTTACATCCTGTTTATGTAAATTCTTCAAACAGCTTGATTTGTAGTAGAGGAAAACAATTCTTGCTGTATCTTTTTGTCTTTTGAAGTGTCCATCCACTCTGGAAGAGGAGAACTTGTATGGAAATTAAGTAATTTGTCTGGATGTTTTTCTGAGACTTAACTTTGCAGTCTTCCAACAGATGCTGGTCTTGTCATTATCAAACCTCAGACTGCAAGTTTTATGCACTCATTTTTCTGCTTGGGTCTTAAAATTTTGGCTGCCTGACACTGACTGAAAGTATAGGGCTAGGCTAGAAATTATTACTAAGATTTGGGAACTGTTTCTTGCATGTATGAATTTTATTATTGAAATTTGGGAACTTTTTTGTGTGTATCACCTTGGTCAAGTGCAAAATGACAACAGGAATTTGGAGCAGCAGTGGTGGACTGGCTTTGGTAGGACTGTTCTGACAAACCATTTGTGCTGTGCTCATCCCTGGAAGCTGAAAGTGAGCCACAAACTGGAGAATAATTTTGGTCTCCTCACAGCTTGTGTGTTCAAATTTAAACCTTAGGACAGAGCCAAGAAGGTTGGAAACAAGATCTGGGAATAGCATCTCTTGTGTCCCCAACACTTGTCACCATTCAGTCTTAGCAGCTTGTCCTGAAAACCTTTCCAAGACAGCAACTGTGTCACTGGACACTTGTCTGCACCATGGAACACAACAGGGCAGCTGCCACAACTTGGATTTTTCAGCCTGAAGCTGCCTCTGCCCCAGGGATCTCAAGTGAAGCCAGAGAAGGTGACAGTGACATTCCACTGGCTGTGGCCCCAGTAGTGCCCAGGAGTTGCTCTGTGACCATTTTGAGTTCACCAAGGTTCAGTTCAGTTGGATCAAATCCCCCTAAAAATAGGGCTCTGCTCCAGACTGGGTGGGTGCATTGCAGTGCAAGTGGATAGGGGAAAGAAAAGGAGTACAAAACAAGGTAAGGAATAAAAATGCTGCTGGAAATACTTTCCGTTTCATCTGAGCTGTCATTCCTTCCTATGCCCCCTCCTCTCTATTAATTCTTCCTTCTCTTTTCAGCTGCTTGTTGCCAAAAACTGATGATTTTCAGGCAAAAGCTTTCTCACAGAAAAGTGAGCCTGGTATGCAAGGGGAAATTGTTTATTCAGGAGTGTCTTCCAGCAGGAGGTAATTTGGAGGGGACAAGAGCGTTCACAGGGAGGACACTTATTTAGAAAAGGCTGTAGGGTCTGAGATGTGCTGACCTCATGTTCTGTATTTTGAGCCCCAGGGCCATGGTGGGCCTGTCCCTTAGGTGGGACATCTGGCCTGATGTCATGCTGGCCTTGCCTTGGAGCAGGGAAAGCAGCACAGGCAGCTCAGTCTGCAGTTTGAACAGGAACCATCTGAGCATGATGCTGCCACCACACTCCCGTGGATCACATGGACTGGACATGGCTTTGATTTTGTAGGGATCTGAGGAGCACAGGGGTGTTTTGTGGATGTTTTGTTTGGTTGTTGTCACTACACAGAAACTAAGGGCAAAATGGACTCTGCTCTCCTTTACATCTCCAGCTCTGACAGGACAGGAGTCAGGAGGTGTAAGGGGAGATGTTCTGTGGAGTGAGGAGCTGCAGCAGAGCACAGATGGAGAACACTGGACTCTGTAGCCAGTGGCGGGTATGGGAAACCTCCTTAGTGTGCTGTAAACAGGGATTCTGTGCTCCTGATAACCAAATTATTTCTGTGGGGCTGAGGGAGCTTTAGAGACAAGTCTAAATGTCAAAGATGTGTCTGAATCTGTAATGCCAGGCCTTTGCTGCTCTGCATCCCATCCTTCACACAGGCAGCTTCTTCACCCCATGGCTGTGGCAGGGAGGGGATACTCCTCAGGAAGAAGGCTCAGAAAATGTAAAATCCTGTTTCAAATGATTTGTCCAAGATTCATGTGTGAGATATTAGAACCTGATGAGATCCCTGCTCCCAGTGCTGGCCCCAGGGAACAGCTGCAGCTGCTTCTGTGGGGATGTGAGGAGCAGAGTGCAAACATCAGCAAGGGAGAGGCAATGCTTGTGTGCCGGGCTGGCTGCAGGGCAGCCCTTCAGAAAGAGGACTCAGGATGGATCTCAAGTGTTCACTGCAGTGTATTAGATCAGCTAGGTGCTTAAAGGTGGTGAGCAGATGATGCAGGAGCTCTGATCCTTTAATAGGGGTGTTTGCCTGGTGGCCTCCAGGGAGCTTTCTTTTTTTGCGGACGTTGATTTGCAGCCAGGAATTTCTTGAAATCTTTGTCCTGCAATTTTACAGTATTTTCATTACTATTGGAGGTCAGAGCTTCAGGTGCTGTTTGGGAAGTGGGTGTCTCCTCCTTGCACCTGGCACATCCAGGACTCACAATATAGAGGACTTTCAGGTTGGAGTGTGTGACCCAGTCCCTCATGCTGTCCAGGACGATGGGCAGCAAGCTCACCACCCCTCCATAGCGATGCTGCGCCTCCTCCAGGCTCAGGTGGTTCACAACACCGTGGGGGTACCTGTGGGACACAGGGAAACCATTGGCACAGGAGTCCCAGCCCTGGGAGCCCCAGGGAGAGCAGCAGTGCACAGGCAGCCATTCCCCAAAAGCACGGATGGAATGGAACATGGATTGAGGAGTCCTGCCAAAAACCACCCTGGCACAGGTCTGGAGTCTTGGACAGGACACACAGACACTGCCCTGCAGAAATTAGCTCAGTGCAGAGCAGCAGCAGCAGGAAGGAGCAGGAACCTGCCTGAGCACTGCAGGGGCCTCAGGGCACCCCCTGCCCCGCCATGGACCAGAGAGAGGATGGACAAACACAGCAGCACTCTTTGTGTGCAGGGACACTGGAAGTGTTTGCCAGGAGCTGGCACAGGCAGCTGGGCAGCACCTTGTGCCCTCCCTACAGCCAGGAAGGGGCTGGGACAGGGCTGGGACAGAAGCCAGGGGGGAACGTGCAGTGCCAGCCCCCAGGAGCTGGGCTGGGCTGGGCTGGGCTGGGCCGGGCTGGCACCTACGTGGCTCGAAGGGCAGTGAGGTCGTTGCTGTCGTTCAGGAGCAATTTGCACTTCTCCAAAAGGCCGTTGGTGACGCTGTCCCCAGCGTGCACCGTCTCCATCTTCTGGCTCAGGCAGCGCAGCTCGTTGCACAGGGACACGAACATGTTGAGGATGCGCCTGTCTGTGGCGTTGTAGCAGTGGTTGTCCTTGTAGCACTGCACCTGCACAGGAGGAAAATGTGCTGCTGAAAACGGCAGAATGGGAACACCTCACTGGGATGGAATGGCTCAGTGCAATGTCTGCCACAATCCTCTTCAAGGCAATGGGCAAAGCCCTTCTGCTGTCAGGGAGAGGCAGCCCTTGGAAAGGACAATCAGCTCATTGTGTGCCCTAATCCTGACAGCAGCCTGGCTTTCACTCTGCCTTTGGCATCCATCTGCGTTTTGGGCTTGAGTTCTGCTGTCTCAAATCCACAATTTTGATTTGATTTAGATTTTTCTTCTTCCCTTGTCTCCAGGTGGTCTAAGTTCTACTTTTCAGTACAGCATGCTATAAAAATTCCCAGACAATTCACTTAGCAGCCCAGCAAAGCCCTTGCCCACGTGGGACTCTCAGCCCTCAATCCATCATCCTCCCTGTATAACACAGCCATTATTTTTAATAAGCACTATAGAAAGATACAGCAGCACCAATACCAGGGGGAAGAGCCAGGCATGCTGCTTCCTACAGGCTGAGGATTACAGATTCCATGTGTGCTTGGGGAAGCAGCCTTGCTCTCATTGTTTTCCTGCAGCCTGTGTTTCTGGCTGCTCAGCAGTGCTCAGCTACAGCACAAAGTGCTGCTCAGCCCTGAGATTCTTCCGTGATCACAGGTGGGGTGATCTCTCCCCACCCCTCTAGTCACACACAAACCTTCCTGGGCACTTTTTGTCCATCTCCCCTCCGTGAAAACCATTTCTGCAGCCCCAGGAGCCCTCCAGCCCCGTGCTGTGCCTGTGGCCATGCAGGGAGCCCTTGGTGCTGAGGGGTTTGTACCTGGATAATGGATGACACAGGTCTCATCATGTCATGGGCTTCCTCCCGCGTGCGCTCCAGGGCTTTGATGAAGGTGAACTGCTGCTGCTGGAACAGCTTGTACTTCTCCTCGATCTTCCTCAGGGTCTCCACCACCTCATTCATGGTTGCTTATTGCTGGATCTGGATGGAAAAGGAGAGAAAGGAAGCTGCATTTTAAAAATGATGCAATTCTACATCTCACCTGGGCTGGAATTGTGCTGGTGTGGTGGTGTTCACAGGAGTCCCAGGATGAGGGAAGAGATGAGAATCTTGACTCCATGTTTCAGAAGGCTGATTTATTATTTTATGATATATATTATATTAAAAGAAAATTATATATTAAAACTCTACTGAAAGAATAGAAGGATTCCATCAGAAGGCTAGCAAGGAATAGAAAGAAATGGAATAATAATAAAATCTTGTGACTCTCAGAGAGTCTGAGCCAGCTGGACTGTGATTGGCCATTAATTAAAAACAACCACATGAGACCAATCACAGATCCACCTGTTGCATTCCACAGCACCAGATAGATAATCAATGTTTACATTTCATTTCTGAGGCCTCTCAGCTTCTCAGGAGAGAAGATCCTAGCAAAAGGATTTTTTATAAAATATGTCCGTGACAGCATAGGCTAATGGAAAACTTATAAATAACTGTGTGATCATTGGCTTTTGCAAATTATTTTGATATAACATAGTTTGTTATCACTGCTTTTATTGTTGTATAATGTGTCAGCCTTTTATGGTTAATACCCCAATCCCTGAGTAGATTATATATTTTAGTGTGATAAATATATTATAGTTTAGGCTCTCACAAAATGTTAAAACAGAGATTTGGTGCTGTGCATTATAACATTAACTGTTGCAGAGTAGTTAATGCTTTTATTTTTGTAACTATCTGACAATGGTGAGAATGAGTCAGATAATTTTGTGAAATTGCTAATGCTGATTTCATGTACTAGTGGAGTATTTTATCTGTATGATAACATTGAAAAGAACCAGGTAAATAAATATAGAAAGTAAGAATGCAAGGAGGATTTTACTACTGATTTTACCAAGGATTTTACCTTCAGCTGGCACTAACTGCCAAACCACAGAACACGGACCCTTGTGAGGAAATAAAATACATCAGTTTCATCTGCAGTATGGCACACACCTTAGGAAGTGTCAAGGGTTGAAGCAAGCAGAAAGAATTCCCAGAATATGAAAACTCAAAGGAATCTTTGAATATGTATAATCGTCATGAAATGTATTTGACCAATGTAATGAAAAACTATATAAGGAAATAGTTTTAAGTTAACTGGCACGCCTCTGGCAGTTGCCAAGCACCCAGTGCTGTTATTAGTTTGTCCCTCTTATCCCTTTTAAAACTTTTAAAATTTTAAAGATTGAGGCTCACTATTACAAAGAAAGAAAGAAAAAAAAAAAAAAAAGCGGGAAAAACCAGCGATCTGTAGTGCCGAAGCCCTGCAGTCCCGGAGCCCCAAGGAATAAGTCAATACTGCCTTGGGAATGGCGCGGCAGAGCCCCAGGGGCGCGGTGCCAGTGTGATGTCACAGACGCTGCTGTGGGAAGGCACAGCGGCCATACCTGAGCCTCAGCGGGGCCGGGGCAGCCCCAGGCCCTCCTCTCCCGGCTGGGAACCCGCGCCCCAGCGCCTCCCCCCAGCTCTCCCGCTCCCTGCGGCCGGCCGGGCCCTTGGCGCGGCTGTGTGCGCCCCGCTCCCGCCGCGCGGGCCCTGCGGCTCCTACCGGCCGGTGCTGTGGCGGTGTTGGTGCGGCAGCTCCCGGGAGGGGCCGGGCCGGGCGGGAGGAGCGGGCGGACAGCGCGGGCCGCGGGCCCTCGGCCCCACCGCGCCGCCGCCGCCATGGCAACCGTCGCCGGTCGATGACGCTTCCCCATTCCCTTCGCAAAAAACGAGGCGCTGGCCACGCCCCTGTGTGGGGATAGGCCGCTTCTCGTCGCGTGGTGATGACGTCACGGTTAGCAACGCGTCTCGCTGCCAGGGGCGGCCATGGCGGAGGCGGACACGGAGATCGCGGCCCGGCCGTGGCCGCCGCCCGCGGGCGCCTACGCGGAGGAGCGGGGGCTCTTCCAGCTCCTGCAGGTGAACGGGAGCCCGGGAGGGGCTGAGGGAGGCGGGGAGGGGCAGCGGGGCGGGATCCTGTGCAGGGTGATGGGCGCGTGGGAAGTTTGTTCTGTAAACAGGGACTGTGTGGTCCAGATAACCAAACTGTTTCTGTGGGGCTGAGGGAGCTTTAGAGACAAGTTTAAATGTCAGGGACGTGTCTGAATCTGTGATGCCAAGCCTTTGCTGCTCTGCATCCCATCCTTCACACAGGCAGCTTCTTCACCCCATGGCTGTGGCAGGGAGGGGATACTCCTCAGGAAGAAGGCTGAGAAAATGTAAAATCCTGTTTCAAATGATTTGTCCAAGACTCATGTGTGAGATATTAGAGCCTGATGAGTCCTGACTGATCCCTGCTCCCACTGCAGTGCTGGCCCCAGGGAGCAGCTGGAGCTGCAGCTGCTTCTGTGGGGATGTGAGGAGCAGAGTGCAAACATCAGCAAGGGAGAGGCAATGCTTGTGTGCCGGGCTGGCTGCAGAAAGTGGGCTCAGGACGGTTCTCTGGTGTTGATTGCACTGTATTAGATCAGCCAGGTGCTAAAAGATGCTGAGCAGACGATGCAGGAGCTCTGATCCTCTAACAGGAGGTGTTCCCTGGTGGAACCCAGGGGGCTTTCTTTCCCAAACGTGGGTCTTCATACTTGCACCTCTCACACTGTTTCTCCTGCAATAACACAATATTTTTGTTACTATTGGAGGTCTGATCTTCACAGTGCCCAGCAGGGGTTGTTTGGGAAGGGGATTTGTGCTTCTAGGCCATGGCAGGTGCATGACTCACATTGGGGATCAGGTACTTCTTGGAGTGTGTGACCCAGGCCCTCATGGTGTCCAGAACGATGGGCAGCAAGCTCACCACCCCTCCATAGCGATGCTTCGATTCCTCTACGCTCAGGAAGTTCACAACCCTGTGGGGGTACCTGGGGGACACAGGGAAACCATTGGCACAGGACAGAGGGAAACAAACAGCCCTGCAGCCCTGGGAGCCACCCTGAGAGCCTCAGGGAGAGCAGCAGTGCACAGGCAGCCATTCCCCAAAAGCACAGATGGAATGGAACATGGATTGAGGAGTCCTGCCAAAAACCACCCTGGCACAGGTCTGGAGTCTTGGACAGGACACACAGACACTGCCCTGCAGAAATTAGCTCAGTGCAGAGCAGCAGCAGCAGGAAGGAGCAGGAACCTGCCTGAGCACTGCAGGGGCCTCAGGGCACCCCCTGCCCCGCCATGGACCAGAGAGAGGATGGACAAACACAGCAGCACTCTTTGTGTGCAGGGACACTGGCACAGGCAGCTGGGCAGCACCTTGTGCCCTCCCTACAGCCAGGAAGGGGCTGGGACAGAAGCCAGGGGGGAACGTGCAGTGCCAGCCCCCAGGAGCAGGGCTGAGCTGGGCTGGGCTGGGCTGGCACCTACGTGGCTCTAAGGGCAGTGAGGTCGTTGCTGTCGTTCAGGAGCAATTTGCACTTCTCCAAAAGGCCGTGGGTGACGCTGTCCCCAGCGTGCACCGTCTCCATCTTCTGGCAGAGGCAGCGCAGCTCGTTGCACAGGGACACGAACATGTTGAGGACGCGCCTGTCTGTGGCGTTGTAGCAGTGATGGTCCTTGTAGCACTGCACCTGCACGGGGGGAAATGGCCGAGCTGCTGAAAACGGCAGAATGGGAACGCCTCACTGGGATGGAATGGCTCAGGGGTTTGTACCTGGATAATGGATGACACAGGTCTGATCATGTCATGGGCTTCCTCCCGGGTGCGCTCCAGGGCTTTGATGAAGGTGAACTGCTGCTGCTGGAAGAGCTTGTACTTGTCCTCGATCTTCTTCAGGGTCTCCAGCACCTCATTCATGGTTACTTATTGCTGGATCTGTGGGGGACAGGAGAGACAGCAAGCTGCCTTTTAGAAATGATGCAATTCTACATCTCACCTGAGCTGGAATTGGGTAGCTTGGTGGAAAACGTACCTAAAAAAAAATTAAAAAAAAAAAAAAGGGGGGGAGGGGGGGAAGCGGAGGTCTGCTGTGCCGAAGCCCCGGAGCCCCGGCAGTCACTCAGTGCCTTGGGAATGCTGAGAGCCCCAGGGCGCAGTGCCACTGTGATGTCACAGACGCTGCCGGGCTGTGGGAAGGCAGAGCGGCCGCGCCTCAGCCACAGCGGGGCGGGGGCTGCCCCAGCGCCTCCCCGGCTCTCCCCGCTCCCTGGGGCCGGCCCGGAGCCCCCGGAACCCCCCCCGTGCGGCTGTGTGCGCCCCCCTCCCGCCGCGCGGGCCCTGCAGCTCCTACCGGCCGGTGTTGTGTCGGTGTTGGTGCGGCAGCTCCCGGGAGGGGCCGGGCCGGGCGGGAGGAGCGGGCGGACAGCGCGGGCCGCGGGCCCTCGGCCCCACCGCGCCGCCGCCGCCATGGCAACCGTCGCCGGTCGATGACGCCTCCCCGTTCCTGTTGCAGTAAACGAGGCGCTGGCCACGCCCCTGTGTGGGGATAGGCCGCTTCTCGTCGCGTGGTGATGACGTCACGGTTAGCAACGCGTCTCGTTGCCAGGGGCGGCCATGGCGGAGGCGGACACGGAGGACGCGGCCCGGCCTTGGCCGCCGCCCGCGGGCGCCTACGCGGAGGAGCGGGGGCTCTTCCAGCTCCTGCAGGTGAACGGGAGCCCGGGAGGGGCCGGGGGAGGCTCCGGGGCGGGATCCTGTGCGAGGTGATGGCCGGGTGTCCGCGTGTGGGACGCTGCCGCGGGCTCTCCCAGTTAATTATTTTAATTCGCAGTTACTGCGGCTCACAAGTATAATTTGATTTGCGGGAGAAAGCGGCAGCCCGTGGAAGAAAGGTTTCGGTGGAAGGCGGGACAGGACGGGGATGGGAGGAGGAGGAGGAAGGGAAATGTGATAAATTGGGTGCGGTAGAGCGCTGTGAAGGTTTGGGGGCGCTGAGCTGGGGCTGTCCCCGCCTGCTGCTCATCCCCAGGGTGAAACCTTCACCCTTTTGTTCCTGTTGTGCTTGTTCGCCGAGGTTTCAGCAATAAAGCGGTAAAAGTGCACTTGTGGCGTCGCTATGATTTCGGTACCTGGCAGGGCCGGGTCCCCTGCTGTAGGGATGGGTGGGTTTGGTTCTGAACTTCGGGAAAAGCTCTTGTGTAGGGCACGGGGAGGTTTGTGGGAAGGACGGAAAATCCTGATGCTGTTGTGATAGGAGAGCTTGCTGGAGAGCATTCCCCTGTGTGCTGCTCTGAACTCTGCTAAAAAAGTCGCTTCCTCTCAGAGCTCACTGAAATACACACACATGTTTATTTCCTTTCCTGTTTTTTTTTTTTTTGTGCTGTCTTTTTCTCTGTTTATTATGACTATTGCAGCATAATATTTGTGTTTTGATTTGTTTTTGTTTCTTTTTTTTAATGAATTACTGTGTTTTGCAAGCCGCAAGGCATTGAATGCAGCTGCAGGGACTCCTATTACATAAAATGTTTGTGGGATTTACTCAGGGTGGTATTTTCATGCTTTAGTTGTGTTGGAGCAAGATAATGACACAAACACGGGTTGAAGTTGTTGTGGTAAAGCATTTACAAAACACAAAAACAAGCATTTACAAAACACAAAAGTAGAAACTACATGAGACCTCAACTATGAGTCTCCCCCAGAGATTAACAGATCAACCCATGTGAAATTAAACTGAGTTCAGCAGAATTGGATAAATAAAAGGGTTTGGGCAAAAAACACTGCCAGTGTCATTCACTGTCAGCCTGAACGTTTTTTAATTATAATAAATCCAGATTTTGTTAAGTTTGTTATTTATACAGGTGCTGGTAAGTGTAGTGCAGAATCCAGATTGTTTAGTTTAAATAAATGTTGCTTATAAAAGTAATAATTTTTAAATGAACTTCCAATAAAAATAGAAATTTCGTCTTTTATGCTCTGTGCTACTCAGACCTTGATGCATCAGGACTTGCATGATAACCAGTTTATAAACAAAATTAAGTATTTTAATTATTCTAATGAAGTGGATGAGGTAGAAAAGGAAAATAGGCCACTCTAATAACAATCAGTTGGTGAGGATATAAAATTTTATGGACTAGATGGACTTTATGGAATTTAGTTGCAGATATAAAAGTGTTACGGCTGCTGTTCAGAAATGTCTCTTCCAGCACGAGCATTTCTGCAGCTTGTCTAAATTAGAGCATTAGTTCTGTTTGATGTTTAATTTTAATTACAGGACTTGTGGCTGGGCTGAAATGTCTTGCTCGGAAATGTGTGGATTTCTCAGAGTTTTTCTTTTTTTCTGCGTGTAAAGCCCAAATCCTCCCTTCACCAGTGCAAGCTCCCCACTGCTATAGGTGGGAGCTGAAACAAGGCTCTGTGTAACCTCAAGGGTTCAACATGAAAATGGGCTCCAAAACAGACATTCAAGGCAAGATTTTCAGCCTTTTTTTGCCTTTTTCCCCTCCTTCTCCCCACTGTTTTTCCTGCAGGGGCCAAGGCTGGTGCAGGTGTGAAAAGTACCATTTCTGTGGGTTGTTTTCCACAGCTCTTGTCGATTCTGCACTCCTCTGGGCTGGTCAGGAACTTGTGGGAATGTGTTAGAGAAGGCTCCTCTTGCCCTGCAAATTAACAAATTCAAGTTAACTCTGGTTTTCAAACTCTTTGTATGGTTTTCATGTCAGTTCTGCCTCATTTTCAACCCCCGGCTGCTCAAACCAAATATTTCTGGTGTCCTTATG